CTCACTTTTTAAAATGCACTTATGATGAACGCGATGGTCACACGGGTATCAGATTAGGTCCTAGCGTCAATGAGTTTCCATCATCTTAGGACAGTAATCACGACTCCGGTCAGGGAAGAGCTGTGTGGACCAGATCTTCATACGCCATAAAGTGTTGATTCAACAACAAGCTTATAGGCGATCCGAAATATTGGTATTCCTTAATTCCAAAAGAACGTTCATTTCTGCTAATCGATCAGCTGCTGTGAACACATTCGTACAGAACAGAAAGTATACACACATTGGCCGTGGTAATCAGGCGTGTCACCACCATCATCATGATCAATGAAAGCAAAACCTTCACTGCCGTACAGCCAAGCAAATTTATTTGAACAAACTCTTATGATGGAAAGAAAATGAGACAAGAAGGGGAACTTAGAGCTGGTCTACTACAAGTGTCAGAGGACCGTAGCTTGGTGAACCAACTACACTCTAATGGCAGGGAGCATGAGAACTCGACAGATCGGAAATAGCCCACTGGCGAAACAGAAAGGCGAACAAAAGATCGGTAGGAACAGAAACAGTGGGAGTAAGCAGCTTCCGGGATGGATTAAAAATAGGTGCTCGTGGTACGCGCGACTACGTGACCACACGTACATGGAGGGACATGAACAGGGAAACGTAATCGGCAATTTCGATCAATATTGGGTAGAATAGCCGCTTCAGTTACACCCACGCTTAAATCCCATGTCTCGTCGTTGCTATAAGGCTTGGAGACTTTAAAATAAACAGCCTATGGCGTGTGAAGGTTTTATGCACGTATGGGAAAAAACGCATCAGAAAACCTGGCACGGAGGTGAGTAGACAGCGGGCTTCCTCAGACCGCTTGCTTCCATGGTGGGATTATGAACGCAGGCAGATTGTCACCAAACCATGAGTCGGAATCGACCATAGATAACTATACGGGACTGCGCTTACGTGATGAGCCCCAAAAAGGGCGAAATCGGTCGTGGGTTGTCGACGGATTTTCAGCAACCTAATGAGTAGTACATTACAAAGATATACATGTATCGCGATATCTCGAATATCGCAGCGACTGAAACATGAGGCGGCTTGGTGCAGCACATTCAGTTGCCTGAAAACATTACAACGAGAGATTCAGCTGGGTACCAGGTGAGTCTCTCGAAAAACCAAATTAGTTTGCAAATGAGTTTATATTCGCTAATTTCGTGCAAGTTGGTTTAAAGTAGAACATAAGGTTGATGGAAACCCGGTGACTGCGCCCACCTGATGAGCCCCCAAAAGGGCGAAACCGGTCGTGGGCTGTCGACGGATTTTCAGCAACCTAATGAGTAGTACACTACAAAGCTGTACGTTTCACTAATACGGACTACTCATTTCCCGTACGGTGATGCTATGCAGTGTAACGACAGATTGGTTAAGATAAGATGAGAAGCCAATTTTTGGAAAATACTGGCGAAGTCTTGGAGATAGTGCGTACAAAATTTGGTTGGCAAAGAGAACGCGATCATGATTCCCGGCTATTTGAACCGAGTTGCGCGAAAGCAGCACTGGCCTCGTGCGTAAAACGTGAAACCTACCTTGTGGGCATATTACAGGGTGATTCGGAAGAACGACAGCAATCTCCCTCTGGTCTTTTTGTTGAGACCCTACTTTTGTTAAAACGTCTCCCATTTATACACACGTTGTGACGTTTCGCGCAAGTTTTCCAATGAAAACTCGCGCTGTTGGAAACTTTGATTTCCGTGCAACATGCCAGTAGAACATCTAATACTATTCCGGTACACAAGAGACGTAAACAGGGGCATCATCTATCACGCAGGCCTATTCACCCTTGTTATTCTGCTCAGTGATTAATGTGCGAACTTACTGACCGGAAGGTCTATGGTTTGAACCCAATCCCTGTATCTCGACTGTTCTCAGCTAGACTTGAGCAAACTGGCAGTATCCCAGCCCTCTGGCTTCCTTTGGCTGGCATGGTAGCTAGGCATCGAAATAGTGTTACAGCTGAACGACTGCGACAAAATATAGTAATCTTGAAACGTTTTGAGACATTTAAAAAACATCTTATATCTATCAAGGATAGAGACTAAAATCTGGGCTTGTCTCTGTTTGTTCTATGTGAACCTGGACTTCTCATTTAAAGACATGAGACTACTAATTTGTAATTCACCTAATGGGTGCGCCTAAAGCCTGCGTGGTAAATTTTTCGGCGTCACATTTAGACTTCAGACGTGGCTTGGTTAACGCTGTCACACGGGAATGCATGGTGTTCGTTTTGCGTCACGATACCGACCAATGGAAAAGCAGCCTATCGCAGTCGAAAATATCTTAACAGTCATGCCATAATGAGTAGTTTTCTGGTTGAGTCCCATCCTCTTTATGCTGTGGGACCATAACACACATGCCTAATTCAATTTTCCGGGGGCGAGATGGCCCAAGTGGTTAGAGCGCGAATTTACTGATCGGAAGGTCTGTGGTTCGAACCCGACCCTGCCTCTCGACTTCCCCTGTCTAGACTTGGGCAACCTGGCAGTATCCCAGCCCTCGCGCTTCCTTCGGGTGGCATGGCAGCTAGGCACCGGAAGGGTGCTACAGCTAAAGGCTTTCTTTCCAATTCAATTCCCCATAATGTTCATTACGGTGCTGAACTGAACTTATCCCGGGGAGGGGGGGGGGTAGCTGAACGCTTGAAGCAACATTTACCGTCCGTTGGTCACCATGGTGTTGTCAAGTCTTTCGTGAGTATGATTTCCACGACTACAATTCAATACGACTAAAACTGCCAGCACTGAAGCACATGTGGCGAGAGAGTAATCTTTCCACACAACTACGAATGGTTGAACATTGAAAATCAAAATAATATTTCTACTCTATAAACTCAGGCATGCACACGATGCCTAATTTTAATGGGCTGGATCGGTGTCTTGTCCTCTTGAGTTGCATGAAATAAAACTCATGGGACTAACAAGATCCAACACTCACCGGCCTTTCTCAGAGACAAATAGCGCTATGCTGCGGCTCCACGATTCAATTTGAAAGGCAGCCCTTGTAAATCTCGCTGTGACAGTGTGACGATTTGTGTACCTCTATAACTCACTGAGCGATACTGAGGGATTTCACTTTGACACCCGGAGAGTGTCCCATACCAGGTTCGTCAGTCAATAAAGGTGATGAAAATGGTCTCCTATCTAGCTGTGGGTGCCCAGCCAGCGAACAACCATGAACGTCTCAACTAGAAATCTTATCATGGCACGGCTGTTGCTGTGTGCGATGACGATGATGACTCGGTGAATGAATCCGATGTGGAAACTTCGGTGTCACAAATACGCATGTGTACGTTGAGGAGAAAACTTGAAAGCAGATGAGGTTCGGTCTGGTAAGAAACAAGGAGACTGAGAACACAGTTTAACCTGAAACAGCTTGTGGATAAGAGTGTGAGCTATAAACCCAAGAGTATGTGATTCTAGTCCATCTACTTTGTTTCACTTGCTCCTATTCAAACACGAGCAGTCTTTGCGTTTCCACCAGGTCACTCATTGTACCCATTCAGCGAGGATGTGCCAATTTCGAAACCCATCATGAGTTCCCTCAACAAGCACGAGTGATGATATCCTGTTTGCCTTACTGGATTCATACAGGAGTGCGGATAAGAGAAAAACTGTCGCTGCGAGCGCTTATTATCTTGCTACATTGCATTCTCTCCAACTCCGCGTGGTGACAACCTACAGGCAATTAAGCACTGGCAACCAGCCAAGGGGTAATATTCATGGCCCAAGTGGTTGACTTGCTCGTGGAGTTAGACAGTTCGGTTGCAAAAGTTCCGCTACTGATCGAGGTGATATCATAAGTGCGTATTATCGTGGCGGTGCCCCACTGTCTAAACCATTGACCAGAATCGGTTAGTCGTATTTAGATGATCAGCTCAGTCACTTGGAAAGTAGAGCCACATCATCAGCGTACTGATCTACGCAGTCATTAAACGAAATGGAAGTGAGAGATCCGGGCTAACAACAACAATAAACAAGTGATAAACACTAGTACCTAGCCGCCATACTATATTGGCATCGTTGTGTATAGGCTAAGATACTGCCAAAAGGCGTGAACGTAGACAGCAGGACGCTAAAGATCCTGAAGCAAAACTTTTGACTCAAAGACCAAGACGAGAAAAAGTATTCAACGAGGTCAATAATGCACGAGAAACACGTAGACATGCAGACGAATTTCTCCGGCTTCTACTCGATAAGTGCATACATCCAACATCATACGATTTACACACCATATTATTTTGCATCAACTAATAAGTTAATTTCATTAAAACCGTGCTGTGCTCCAAAATGAATGAAATTTTCTGCTATGGTGCGTAACGTTTTTCTAGGCAACCAGTTTCTCACCGTTTATAGAGAGTGCATTTGGTGCATTTAGTACATTTAATTCAGCCTTCAGTACCGATACTTATGCACGTTTGGAGGTGCCGTTGTTACTCTGTCCAGTGAGCAAGATTATGATGTTTGCTCCACCGTTTTTAGTAGTGGGATGCGTCATCGAAAAAAATGTGAGGTTAACTCCAAAAGGAGTCTGAAGCACCAAATGTGAGGAAAAATACTAGCAAGACAGCATTCGTGAGTGTTTGCATAGGTGCGCTGCCACAAAACCGTGCAAACTACGTCGTGGATGGTTCCTTTCGGTTTGTCCATCAAACTCCCTACAGATAGCATTGAACAGAACTGCAACTATCAACACCAGGGACTCAGAGAGCAGAAATCGTCTACCCAATCATATGCGCAAAAATACACTGGCTATGGCAGGGACCGGTAAAAAAAAATGTGCAAAAATGGGTGCACAAATCGTAAAGCATGGGATGCTGAGAAAATAAACAATAGTGCAACTTCTGGTTCAATCACCGTAACTCAATGAGAGCAAATCTCTCGAGAGTTCATGGAATCGCAATCTTTTATGCTGTTTATGTAGCACTCAAATAAAAAGTAGACTGTCCTTACCCTGAAAACAGTCGATCCAGGGATTCTGTACTGCCAAGTACTTCAGTCATGCCATGGTCCGCTGTGACAACGAGATACGGACGAATTTCGGCCTCCTCAGTCAGCTGATCCACTAGCCGGTCTATCACGTGATCGAGTGCAGGAAGATGTGAAAGTAGGAGCTGGTCTGATAATGGACCATGTTCATGACCTACGTAATCCAGCTTGTCGTAGTAAACAACTGAAAAACGGAAGGGGGCATGATAAAAAGCAAGATGCAGCGCTTTTGAACTCGGTTACTGGAGTTAATGAATGATGATAAAAAGCGTAGAAAAAACTCACCTGTAACATCTGACTGTCCACTACGTAGTCGTTCCAATGCTCGTCCCAGAGTTTCCTCAAGCTTCGCCGGTGTGAGCTGAGATTGTTCATGCGGTTCACAAGATGTCCACTCTGACGCCAAACTATCGCAGAATGGAAGGTGGTACACATGCATGCGGCCATGCTGTGAATACAAGGAAAGAAAATAAGAATGTAGGAGTGAGACAAAAACAGAAAAGCCTTCGAAGCGACAAGGTAGGAAGTAGGTTCACACATGCGTTACTTACACGCTGATTTCACGAACGCACCATAAAAATGGTCCTGCTGTACCTCTCTTTCGGTGTCTAGTTGCCGAGTCACCCGAAGGAAGCCTGAGGGCCGAGAGAGTGTAGTTGCCGAGCACCCGAAGGAAGCCTGAGGGCCGAGAGAGTGTACACACGGATGTTTACATAACCCGAATTAGTTGCGCCTAACAATTTCCTAGTGGCCGTTACACGAAGGTATGAGGTATTGTCGTGAGAAGTTTCAGAAAGCCTGGGCAATAAGTACTTGCTGTCTTTGTGAAAGGGGTCATTGTGACAATCCATACGTTCGGTTGGGAATGAGATTCGATACCAATGCCTTATACAGATTGGCTGGCAGAATGTTGGAGGTGCACTTATCACTGAATTAGGCGTTTTATCCCCACCTACCCTTTTTCTTCCCAAACTAAAGCTTTCTGCAGAAACGATGACAACACTAATATACCAAGAAAAGAATGATGCAGACTCGTGCCAGAACCGTGTGACAGACAGGCTCCATTAGGCAGGCTGGGACACCAGGGCGTCCTAGTGACTATCGAAGCAACAGACGCAATAAGTGCATCCTCATATGGCCTATTGGTTCGCCCTTCTGCATTACTCATCAACAAGGGAGACGAATAGTGTAGAGCAACCAAACAACATTGAGTACACTGGAATCCCCCTCAACGGCGGATGGGGATGAAGACATTTGTCCGATTGGTCAGCCTACATCAAAAGGAAACGTGTGCGACACAGGTGCACCGTTTCCCTCACAATTACAAAGACGATATAGTTGTTATGCAGACTAGCCACGAAGTGATGGACATGAACATGAAGTTCAATTGAAATTTCCTCCTGTCAGTGAAGCCTATCTTCGACGAAAAGCGAAGAAGCATGGTAAAGTTGCTTCACCCTTGTTGGGAATCATTAGTAGTGTGCGCGTCACGAAACCCAACGAGCACCTGGCTCGTGGTTTGAACAATTAACCGTTTGACCACGAGCGGCTGACCAGTAGTGTGATTAGCTCTCACTTAGACCATGCCCATCGACTTTTCAGCATAGAACAGCTTCACTGACAGGAGGGGATGTCCATTGAATTGAACTACAGAATCTCCTCACACTATCATTGATAAATACGACAATGGAACATCAGCGTTGAATCTAGTGATATCATGCTGTCGACAATCATGATGACCATTGACACAGTTCATTACCAGAAAACCTACCGAATAGATTGGATCAGAAATACGTAAGAGCCCACTCACCTTCGCCAATTTTGTCTTCACATCTGGAGTGGGGCTATGCACATCCTGTTCCATGAATCCGATGGATCGATTACGACGTTCGTCATACATCTTTGTAAACAGCATGCCATGCTCTGCCGGATAGAGACCTGAAAAACACGGAAATTGAAGCAATACCCTAAATATGCAGTTCTTTTTTGGACAATCCCCCTCACAATGCAACGAAATAGTCTGCAACCTGAAGGAAAATTATTGCGCTTGGAAAATTATAACTTCTTGGAGAAATGTGGATATCGCAGTCTTAAGCATATACCAGAAAATGGATGTTGACTTTCGACAGCAGCATTCGTCCGTGTGAACAACTGAGGGAATCAAACACGCGTTCAACCTGACCGTTAAGACAAAACGAGATGAAGTCATCCGATTGGTTAATCCTGCAAAGGCTTTGGACAGTCTTTACTAAAAAGTCGAGACGTTTACAGGCTCGTTTTTTGGGAACAGTTAGGTTCAGAAGTTTTGTGAGTGTGAAGTGTACGCACAATTTGCTATTGGGTTGGCAGTTGTCGTAACAAACAAACAAGCTGGATATTTGGTTAGACACAACATAGAGATGTGCACAATCCCGATATCCTCGTAGAAGACGCTTGGATTTCGGACTCAACTAAAAAGGTGACTAAAAATCCACACACATGGAAACATACTGCTCATGAAGCAACCTACCAGTAAGGAGGGACATGATATTTGGATGGCACTCAGCAGGGAAAACCGGCCGAACCTGTTTCATGTAACCACCACCAGTGATGAGCCTGTCGAAACCCCTTAGGGTGCGATTCGTTCGTTTGGCGAAATGGTCCAGCAAATCCCAGCGAAAACTATCAAGAAGCAACAGAAGTAACGGGGACTTTTTGCGGTCCGTCGGCATCGAAGGTGGGCCTGAAAGTAACTGATTCGAAAACGACAGCTCCGGAAAGCGACTGTAGTCCGAATCAGGCGGACGCAGCTCCACGCAAACAACACAGTGAAATGATACAAGAAACAGTGGAGTCAGACTGACCCAGGACCGGCACTGAAAATGCTGACGTGGAGGCATTTTGCTACCACTGAAAAGTGAAAAAGATAAACACGTGGTTTGCAGGAATCGAACGGGATAAGGCAAGGAAAAGAATAAGGTATGTGGAAGATTTTTTAGTATTGACATGGAAATATCACAGGTACAACTTGATCAACTCATCGCTTACAACGGACGGAGTAAGTACGCCCAAATCAGTAACGAGGTAAGATATATAGAAGGGGTTTGTGTAGTCGGTGATTGGCATCGTTCGCTCAATCGTCTGTACACGATGTTCATTAACTCGAGCCCAAGCGGTATGTAATTCAGGGAAATCATCTTCCGCGTCTTCAACTTCGTCTTCCTCAAGAGCATCTGTCATTTTCAGATTTCTGAGTGGTGAACAAGCAGGCGAAATTCCAGAAGAGTATTTTAGCTCCGATGGGATGTGATGTTGATCCAGAGGAAAAGCACGGATAAATTTGAACGACTCGGCGAGTACGTAGACCGGCTTGCCGAATGCTGCAGCAATCATCGCTACGGTGGATGACCCGAGATCGTTGAGAACGCCGCCGCTTTCGACGACAGCATGCGCTCCCATCAGTACCAAACTGACACGCGGCATCAAATAACCGATTGACAAATCAGGAATAAGAGTGCACGGGATTTTCAGTCTGGCAAGTTCTTTGGTCATTTTGCGGCCTGACTCATGTGGAGCACATGTGGTTACATAACAATGCAGTCGGCTGCTACTGAGGTTGCTTGTAGCTGACATGTTGCTTTTTGAAGCCGCATAAGCTTCCAAAGCTGAGAGTACAACTCGTGAATAGGAATGTACCAGTATACACCCTCCGTCTGGCAGAAGGTTGAGGAAATTTTCCGCAATTTGCCGCTTACAGGCACCAATCTAATTGAGGGGAAATGAGAGATTTTATTGACAACACAAATGGAAATTGAAAAAAAGATGAGCAATTAGGGAGCTAGTCAGATTCAGCAAATAACCGGCAAAACGAAGTTCTGACCGATTTCCGAAAAGTTGGCACATGAAACATTAGTAGATGCTATAAGGGACTCAGTAGTTGGTTAATACTAACTACAAATGTAAAGTTAGTTGCACAAGGAACTACTTAATAGGTAGATACAGCGAAGTGAAAGAATTAATCAGAGATGATCAACAGTACTGGAGCACAGGTGTTGAGGTCACTGGCGACTACAACCGGGTAATACAGCAATGATAAAAAAAGGATCCGAACACCGGTGTGACGGTTGAATTCACCGGGAGACGAAAATTACCATGTACAAAAATGGCAAACATCTAGTGCCACCAGCGCGGCGTGCATTAAAGCAGGGCATATATGGACCAACAGACGGTTCTTACTCACAACGTTGATGACCTCTGGATAGCCAAAAAGAATTATCCCCTACCTATCTAGAATCAGGTGTGCAGAGCTAACCGAAGCAGCATGTTGTTTTAGCGAGTTAACTTGTTCAATGGACCCATCTCGCGCGCAAAAAGGTAAACCGGCTATTCGTTGACAACCCGCTGATCTACGAATGCACTTATTACACTGGAGGATAACTGGAAGTATCGACCAAAAGGAATTAACCCCAAGTGGCATGCCCAAGGCGGGATCAATAAGTCTAACTCAGCCACACAGAAAAGTGACAGTGTCGTGATCAGTATACATCAATACTCAAGAGATACTCGGAAATTTTTAGGCGAAATGTGATGGTCAGACAGTTCAACTCCCAGAATCACCAAAAGCCTCTAACCAAAGGGTCACTACCGCGACTGTGCATATTCCATCTGCATAAAAATCAACAACTCTACATCAAGAACAGACGACTGAGGCAGGTAATCCTTTTCAGTACTTCATCACCAGGTTGACGTGCAAAGTACACATAACTGGCATGCTTGTACGGCAGTGAAATACTACATTTGAAGCTCATGGTAAGTAGAAACTGAATGAGACCCAGATGGTTGTCGAAAATGTGCGGCTCGACAGCCAAGTGCCACGCAACGATCCCTGGGAAGCAGAAGGCTGACATGCTCCACGATCAGAAACAACACGACGGCGAACACATCGACCTCTTTCCAGGCCTTAAAAACCCCTTGCATTTTGCTTTAGAACGACTGAGCCACAGTTGGTGCCGGAAGTGGTGTTTTGACTCTGAAGAGAAGGAATAGACTGAAGCGTTTTGCTTACTAACTGAATTTTCCCCATTGTTGACAGTTAATTCATCTCGCCTGGCAAGGACGATGAAAATTTGTTCGGCTTCATTGCTGGATTTGATGCAGTCGAAAAGGACAGCAATTTACAAAGTACCAGTTGCTACAGTTCTGACAAATGCGCAGTACCCTTTATGCTCGAATGCCGCATTTCGACTGGAGAATTCCAAGGTGAGTTGAATGAGTTACAACATCAATTTGTCAACCACAACAAAACGGGACCGCACTGTGTTTCAGGTTGGTGAGAAGCTGGCATTTTGCTGTAAGTTTGCGCAATATGACATTCAAGCATTGTCCCCATATCAGTGGTGATGGAGGAAAGCAGCTCATGCACAAGAAAAAAACTTATGGACTGGTTGTTACCGACAGACAGATACTTTAAAATATCAAGACTCATTCTTAACAATCCTATCGTAAAGAATGTAGGTACTGCCACACACTCAAGCGCAACAAAATAGGTTTCGAAAATGCATTGCTGGAAATTCGTTTGCGTGTATCAAAATTTTGCTCGAATGAAAAGACCACATGAGTATTTCAAGAGGAATGAAATTCCTATGCCGACCACGCCCAATTATTCCAGTCATCGGAACAAAAGTGTCTCCTGCGTTGAAAGATTTCTTTCAAAATTCATTTCACAGAGTTTGGACGACGCATTAAATGGTGGGCTGGAAAGGGATCGAAACATAGTATGACGTAGTTACGCAATCAACGAGGAATCGGTTGATACTGACTCCATACAGTTTCGGTGACAGCAGGATGGACGCAGACACATTCGGCCTTCGGACGAAAAACGTTTATGAATCAATAATGGTCTTGTGTGACCCAGTCGATGAAAGTGAAAAAGCCGGATATGAGCGGTCGATTCGATTGAGTGACAGCCAATAGGAACATTGCTTCTACGAAAAACATAGAATCGGCCTGAGTAATGCCTAACAGACGGTTGGGCAGGTGTGAACAAACAAACCCAAAGTCAGCCTGACCAGTAGCTTCCCAGAGTGATGTAGGTGGTACGTTCAGCAGAGTATTGTAGAATAGATGACATCCAGAATGGTGGTGGCTTGGGGGAAGAGTGAGTTTTCTGTGCAGTTTGGCAGTTCCTCGGGATATTGGAATTGGAACATAACTTGTTTTGATTCAGAAGTTCTACGGTGTATGAAATACCATTACAACCACCTACTGCTTCTATGTACTTCCGCAGCCTCTGCTCAGGAGCCGCAATGAGCGAACGAGGAATATAGACGACATTTTAAGATTCTATACAGGAAAACGCGGAAAAATTACAAAACATTAGGTGATTGCGCGAGAAGCTATTACGACCGAAACCAAACACTATAAGGCACTCAATAAATGTATAGGGGGAAGTTTGTTTTGAACAGCAAGTTTTGAGTTTTATTCATATATGTCATGCTACATAAGATCACAAGTTAGTGATAAGCGTCATGGAGGCCCATGTGAAAACAAAAGACGTCATCGTACTGGTGAACTTGAGCCCTTTTCCACAACCAGTTGGCGTGTCAGTTGGGCAATAATTACATGGATTGCAGATGAACAGAGATGGAATTGACAGATAGGCGATGTGGACTGTATCATTCTGTATAATATGAGAACTCCAAAGTTCACAAATTGCAGTCAATGAACACGATCGGTGCAATCCAAAGAGAAGCACTGAAAGTTGTGGGGAATTCCACATAGGTCGGTAGTTGTGTTATCTCTGGCGGAAATGTGTATGACGAAGTTATTGCCAAAATTTCGAAAGCATAAATCATTCTAGCAAATATGTCACTGCGACACAGTTAGTACCGGATGGCGTCCACAAATTTGTGACGAGGTGATCAGAAAACAGGTATTTGGTTGTGCAGCAGGTACCTAGGTGGCGGAAAGCATTCAGCAATAACAACTACGGTGGATCTGGGATGTGATAAGCAGGCTGAAACATCATCTACCGATAAAAAAATCGTTCAGCTGTAGTACCCTTTCGGTGTCCAGCTGCTATGCTAACGGAAGGAGGCACGAGGGCTGGAATACTGCCAAGACAATGTGACTTGGAAGGAAGGTGTGAAATAGATTACGATGAGGTCCACCTTCCAGAATGGAGTCCTCATGACCTTCCTTGCCCTCGGCTAGGGACGTTGCAATTAGTGGTGGCTGATCGATGTCAGTAGCACTCGTGCTATCAGTTTCTTTCCAGATTATCTGATTGAGCGTTTTGGTGTATAGAATACTTAGAATACTCAGAATATTTAATGTAGGTCAGCATCAGGTTCCTACCTTTCCTCATTTCAGGACTTCAAATATAATTAAATCAAAATTATGGTGGTGAAGCACCAGTGACATCAACACTGACGTTGCTGTTTCTGATGGGTATGATTAAGGATGAAACTAAGGAGTCCCCCAAAAAGGGGTACCACCCAATGTAGAGTGTCCGAACGATATATACAACGATACGATATATATACATACATATATATATATACACATATTATATATATATATACAACGATATATACAACTATCTAGTCCGACAAAATATCATATTACCGAGGATTTTGCTGTCGATGTGAAACTAGCGAACGAGAAAACACCAAGGAGACAATCTAGTGATCGATACAGATTCAACAAAACCGCCTAGGTCATTGATCGGTCGAACGGCAGCTGAGAGAACCCCATCACAAGCGAAGGATACTAACAACGAAGTAGGTCATACATGCATGGCAAATAAATCAAGGCTGCAGCTTGGCGACACATTCTCGTATCTTGCCGATCCCAAGTGGCATATAATCTACCCGTTCATAATAAACGCCGGGGACTCATGACAACCATATAAGTTCTCTACGGTGCACATGGGAGTCAGTTCTGGATATACCGGAATACTGATTATCTGACGCATTCAGTCCAGATGAAGCACATTCCATCGTGCAATCAAAAGTGTTCAAAACATTGGGAAACGAGTAAAATGCCATATGATACAATTTTTACTACTCATCCTCGTTACGAGGAAAAAATATCACAGAAGCGTCTTGCTATCCCCGCAAGGAGGTTCTCTGTTTATGAAAGTATATCAAATTATCCGCTACACTGTAATTTGGTCCTGGAAAAGATATAAAAGGTCTGATTATGCATATAATATTACACCTGGTTCAGGCTACATCTGGATCGAAAATATACTTAATAATCAGAATGATGACGTTGCCAGGGGTTTGGTATGCGCTTTACAGCTTCAAACAAAAGTGCTATTGCAAGACTGGCTGGGTACATAACGAAATCTGGCCATGTCACTAGAACCAGTGGACATAGCGGATAGTTTATTTGGCAGGGTATTTGCATCACTGTTGACGAAGTGTATGCTTGAATCTCCAAGGTCCATCATATTTTTCCTCAAATTCTGCATCCTTCAGTCTAAGTGACATTGTCCTGTCGGTGAAAAGCAGAGTCTACAGCGCGGCAGTGTCCAGTCTTGCTTTACGGTTGTGAAGCCTGGCTGCTATGCTTTGTAGATTGGGATGTCTGTGACCATCGATGCCTTCAAAGCATTGCACGTGCATCATTGTAACATGCATTGGTAGTGCTGCAACATACCGGATGGTTTTGGCAACAAAACAACTGCGTGTCCAATTCATATGCACCAACTACACTGGTTCGATTATGTGCTCCGTATTTCAGGCGATCGACTGAAGCACCAGTGACATCAACACTGACGTTGCTGTTTCTGATGGGTATGATTAAGGATGAAACTAAGGAGTCCCCCAAAAAGGGGTACCACCCAATGTAGAGTGTCCGAACGATATATACAACGATACGATATATATACATACATATATATATATATATATACACATATTATATATATATATACAACGATATATACAACTATCTAGTCCGACAAAATATCATATTACCGAGGATTTTGCTGTCGATGTGAAACTAGCGAACGAGAAAACACCAAGGAGACAATCTAGTGATCGATACAGATTCAACAAAACCGCCTAGGTCATTGATCGGTCGAACGGCAGCTGAGAGAACCCCATCACAAGCGAAGGATACTAACAACGAAGTAGGTCATACATGCATGGCAAATAAATCAAGGCTGCAGCTTGGCGACACATTCTCGTATCTTGCCGATCCCAAGTGGCATATAATCTACCCGTTCATAATAAACGCCGGGGACTCATGACAACCATATAAGTTCTCTACGGTGCACATGGGAGTCAGTTCTGGATATACCGGAATACTGATTATCTGACGCATTCAGTCCAGATGAAGCACATTCCATCGTGCAATCAAAAGTGTTCAAAACATTGGGAAACGAGTAAAATGCCATATGATACAATTTTTACTACTCATCCTCGTTACGAGGAAAAAATATCACAGAAGCGTCTTGCTATCCCCGCAAGGAGGTTCTCTGTTTATGAAAGTATATCAAATTATCCGCTACACTGTAATTTGGTCCTGGAAAAGATATAAAAGGTCTGATTATGCATATAATATTACACCTGGTTCAGACTACATCTGGATCGAAAATATACTTAATAATCAGAATGATGACGTTGCCAGGGGTTTGGTATGCGCTTTACAGCTTCAAACAAAAGTGCTATTGCAAGACTGGCTGGGTACATAACGAAATCTGGCCATGTCACTAGAACCAGTGGACATAGCGGATAGTTTATTTGGCAGGGTATTTGCATCACTGTTGACGAAGTGTATGCTTGAATCTCCAAGGTCCATCATATTTTTCCTCAAATTCTGCATCCTTCAGTCTAAGTGACATTGTCCTGTCGGTGAAAAGCAGAGTCTACAGCGCGGCAGTGTCCAGTCTTGCTTTACGGTTGTGAAGCCTGGCTGCTATGCTTTGTAGATTGGGATGTCTGTGACCATCGATGCCTTCAAAGCATTGCACGTGCATCATTGTAACATGCATTGGTAGTGCTGCAACATACCGGATGGTTTTGGCAACAAAACAACTGCGTGTCCAATTCATATGCACCAACTACACTGGTTCGATTATGTGCTCCGTATTTCAGGCGATCGACCACCTTACAGTGAGCAGCTTCCTAAGCTACATCTTTACTGGAAGATAACACAATGTTGACAGTGCGCGGCCTACAGGCAGGGCGTGAAAAACGTGACAAACGGCCCTGACTGCATTACTGCATGTCGCCCGCGAGGGATCCACTATATAACTGGTTTGAGGCACTCACCGACATGAGGACGCTACGAAACAAGTGGCGCTTTTCTATCCATTCCATTTTTCTTAATCAACGACCCACTGTTCTTTCATTTACTACTTGTGTTCTGTACCCCATATATCCTACACTACCCGCTGCCACAAGCTGAGGCAATCTGAACCCCGCACATACATACAAAGTTTACGACTATCAAACTGAGCGGAACTGACTGAACTCAGCGGAATATGGAAGTAAACGACGCAGAATAACTCAAGTGTCACCCAACATTTGACATTTACAAGACCTTTTGTTGTTACATAGGAAAAAAGTCTTTACTTTGCATATATATTCATCCATTGTTCGAGCGAAGCCAGGCAGTCTAGTAGCTGGTCACTCGACATGACGGGGCTGACAGCCATTAAAATGATTCACCATACTGGTACTCAGATGCATGTAGATATAGAATATCTGGGATGGTCGCTACTAAATCCTGGGAAGATAGCATTGACACCCACACCTAACTGAACTTCGAGTGGTCAAGCATAGTAAGTGGAGGCTGTTTGTTAGTAATCATCCCTCTCAAGATGAAAGGCCTTCATCGAGACAACAGTTATTCCTAGTGGAAAAGATCACTGCGTTTGGACCGGAGACGTTCAGAATCACGATCAACAACTGCAATCTTTATAATTTTCAGGGATTTGGCTGCTGGAATCTGCTGAGAATAAGCCTTTCCTGGGAAACGTGTGCCCTCATCTAATGAATCGCAAAGCAACTATGAAGTCTTCAAGGAGTCGACTAAAACCATACTTACAAAAACGGTATTGAACAGCGCGCCTGACAAATCGCAGGTAAACTTGCCCATAACGAGTGACCCGTTGCTCCTACACGGAACTTTATTCAAAAAAATGAGAAAACACATGTACGATTCTTCGCAAGATTCCAAGATAGTTGACTATACTTTATCAGGAATAGAAAACTCTCCGTGCTTTTAAATGAATGCATCTGACAGGGTGTAAACAGAGGTTAAGGATGTCATTTTGAGTGAACCTGAAGCTTCTCGGTCGCTCGTCAAGATTCAGCCACCCGGTAGCATCTGAAATTCTCTACGTTGTTCGGTAGCTATACAATGAACAAGTTTTCTAATGACAAAGCGAGTCAAAAAATCAGATTTCAGGTTCGTCGTAGTATTTTGGAAACGCACTGAGCGGGAGTGATGATCCCCCAAAGATGAGTCCAAGTAGCCTGGTGGAATTGACTAACTCGAACCTGAGTTCGAACCCCTGGGGCACCAGCCCAGAGACGTAAATATGTGGGTTCACCAACAAAGATACAGAAATACATCTGTAGATACTTTAGATGCTTTACAAACCTTTCTCAAAAACATATCCGCGCGTTCTTGAAGTACTTGTTTGCACCGATTGAAGTCATCCGGAGCATCCGATATCGTCAAGGTAATGAACCGTTGGAATAGTTCACAAGCAGACTTAACACATAAATAGGTGTGATCGGCTTCTGTCATCTCCAAAATTGCGGTATTCAGTACATCATGAAGTCCTTGAACCGTTGAGACATGGGAGTCGTGAAGCACACGTGTTAACACGTCGATCGCAGCTAAAGCCTCCGATTTTTCCGGGCTTGCTTTGCAAATACGCCTGAACAAGCCAGCAATGTCACCAGAAGAATGCATTTCGGACAAAATCTGAGGAGAAAAAAAAGCAGATATATGAGAAGCTTGTAGACTCATGTGTGGGCAGATTCGAGCGTTGCGTTCACTCCATAAGATGATTTGATGGAAAACAGCTGCCAAAGACTCAGAAACGCTGAACAGGGACAACCAGAAAAAAATGAATCCCAGTATTGTGGGTAAGCAAATAAGGCAGTGGTAAATTTGTATTGAGATAGGTATGGAGATCGAGAGTTTCTTTTTCAAGTGGGCCAGAAGTTCCGTATTTACGGAAACGGCACTGGTGCTTCCTTCGGGTGGCATGGCACAAAAGCACCAAAAGGGTGATAGAGATGAATGATTATTGTATTTTGATGATAACAATGATAAATAATAATAATAACCGTTCGGTTGCAACACACCAGCTACTATGCCACCCGGAGCAAGCACGAGGGCTGAGATACCGCCAGTTGTCAAAGCCTAGATATGAGCCATCGGGATGCAGAGGTTGGGTTCGAACCAAGACTCTTTTGGTCAGTAAATTCGCACTTTAACCATTGAGCCATCTTGAGTTCATTATTATTATATAATACTGGAAACGTAAACGAGCCTAAGCAACGTCTCTTAAGCCCGAGACGCTGGAGGCCAGAAACCTCATTTTGTGGACAGTATGGTATCATGTCTTGTACAGATTATAACTGACTATATTGGTACCTGCGGGGTTGCGCGATATGTAAATGCCAAAATGGTTGTTTGGAAATTTGTTCCCTAGTGGAAGCCTAACGACATGTGGTTCCACTCTGTGTACGGAATATGGATGCCTCTCAGAATAAGAGGATTGTCCAAGCCTGACGCCGTTAAGGTTAGTTGACTATGTTGTGGTAGGCACCAAAACTACAAATGGTTCGGTGCTTTAATGGAAACTTTAAGTGTCGGTGAACCCACTAGACGCACAATCACACAGCCGTAAAAAACATGATCTCAAGACAACCCCAAGTATGCTAAAGAGGTCCCTTTGCCACCAAAGTGCTTAATTCAACAAGCCGTTCTTTCATCGATAATAAATTATGGTAAATGTTCGGTTATACCGTCGTTACGGTGCCTAGCTAGAATGCCACCGGAAGGAAGCACCAGCATCATCATCGCCATCATCAAAGACAGCAACATCAATGTTGGTACTGATGCTCCACTGCCGTAAGAAAGCATTATGCCTGAGATACTAATAAGTTTCCCAAGCATAGACTGTGGTCGAGATATCGAGGTTGGGTTCGAACCATCATCATCATCATCATTCAAGCATAGATGTGGTCGAGATATCGAGGTTGGGTTCGAACCATCATCATCATCATCATTGTCAGCTGTAAGAACCGCGTACTGGTCGTAACCTGGTTGTAGCTGCCACAGTTTCGTTCACCGATGATT